GGTTTCCATTGTTCTGGATGAGAGATAAACCTCTTACATGTGAAAGTTTTGTGGAAGAACCGTAACAGATATCTGTGAAATTTCAAAACTTGAAGCATGTCAAGGAAGTTGAGTATCTGAAGTGTAATTTTTGTGTACTTTCGGGTTAATAATGTGGCCTTTTTGGCCGTTTAACTAAAGGTGTGCGGCTGCTGCCGTGAGGAAATATCTGCCTGAAATTACAATGGGCTTTAATGGAGACATGTTGAACGTTTTTGTCACTTCATGCCCTCAAAAAGCATTTTGTTTAATTATTTTTGCTTAATTATTTGTCATTTTTCAAGCTACAGGATGTTTTCCTACGTTTGTCATGAAAAATTATGTCTCAGGAATGTAGGGTTTGGGAATTATGGCAGTTTAAAAAAAATATATGAAGGCACATTTCAAACTGTCCTCCACTCTAACTCTGACATCACGCACTCTGCCTTAACGAGCTGCGCAATGTTAAAGTTCAAATGTTAAAAATGTGATGAATTATGGGATGTATCTCTGGAATTATGAAAGTTATGAATGAGAAAAGTAATAGCCATCGATTCCCGACCGAGCTGAACGTTTTGATGTTTGAACGGAGTTTCTGCGATGTTCAATGCGGGAGAAGAAGCGCGGCAAAATAAGTCGGCGGAATAATAAACTTTTCGTGCGTAGAAGAACAGTTAGTGGGAATGCTGTCAACAGCATTCCCTGTCAGGTTTCTAGGGTTTATTCCCAAAAGGAACACTTTATTTTAAGAGTAAATATATAATATATATATATATATTACCTCGTCACTGAGTCGGTCGTCTCTCAGCGTCGGAGGTATCCCAGAATGCTTTGCTTTCAGCAGCTCCATCAGGTTGTGGGTCGCATGAAGTCTCTGAGTTTCCACAACGAGGAAGAAAGACAGAAAGTGATCAGTTTAAAAAACGTGCAAAATTTATAAAAATGTATTCTGAGCCCGAAGTCAGGATTTCTGACATTTTCTGAAAAAAATGCTAAATTCTGAAATGTTCAGAAGGAGAACATTTTAGTTTTATTCTGAGTGAAGATCTGAGAAATAAAAAAAAATCTCGGAAAATATAAACAGTTCGGTGAAAAAGTGGACATTTGAGACAAAGTCAAAACTCGGTGAAAAAGAGAAAATTCTGAGAAAAAGTGAAAATTCTGAGAAAAAGTGAAAATTCAAAAAAATAAATCAGAACATTTGAAAAAATTCAAAAAAAAGTAATAACTCTGAGAAAGAAATTCATTCTTCTTTTATTTATTTTGGATTTGAAATGCTACTTTTACTTTCATAAATTAAATGTTCCACGTCTCGAGACTTTTGGGAGATTTATTTGAGATGAAAAACAGATAGTTAGTGTCTACATAGTTTGGGGTGTTTCTGTCCTTTATGCAGATATCTTATTCTCTCTTTGTGGATTTTGGACTATTTGGAGTTTTCCCACGAGTCTGAACGAAGACATGTTGGAGAAGCTCATCAGCCCGTGTTAGCGTGTGTGTCTATGCATTATAGTGTGTGTGTTTGTGTGTGTGTGTGTGCGTGCGTGCGTGCGTGTGTGCGTGCGTGTGTGTGTGAGCCCTTCACATGTAGATGAGTGATGTGTGTGTGTGTGTGAGCGTGTGTGTGTGTGTGTGTGTGTGTGTGTGTGTGTGTGTGTGTGTGTGTGTGTGTGTGTGTAAAAATATTACATGTATAACAGCAAAATATATGTTAATTTCGAAAACATACAGATAATGCTCAACAATGTGAGTGAGCTATCAAACTCAGAGTTTAGGTCATGAAGCTTTTTTTAATCGCTAAATGTTGTTCTTTGAAAATCAGTGTAAGCATTTATGAAAAGGAGTGCAATGTAAGCCGTTGTCATCCTCACAAGACATTACATAAACAAATCTACTGTCTCTCTTGGCAGTGTTGAAGTACAGTTATCTTGATGAGTTGTTAGTGTAAACATAGAAAATCATGCATTAGTTTTGATGTTGATTTCTCGAACATGAGAGAAGAAGTAATGACCGTGAAGAGGGGGTCAATTGTTCAAACTGACTTGATGAGAGTCAAGTATGACTCACTGCATGGCATTTCACAAGGGATCATTAGCAGTAAAACACCTATAAACAGAAGCTTAGCAGAAAAGCACTTAGCTCAAAGGGAACTTCAGTAGATGGTGCGGCAGTATTTGATTTACTATAAGCTTTATAAATGAAGAAATAGAATTAATTGTTATTTGGCAATACTTGAGAAATATTTAAACAAAGCCATTGTCTCATTCCTACACCGTTTGAATGAGACAAGGCAGTAGTTTACCGTTTAGTTGATATAGGAATTCTTATTTAGTTGTCACATCCCTTTACAAAAGCACTGTTACATCGTTGCTCAATGATGGTTTACAATGGAAAGGGACACATTGTGCCTGCATTCTAGTGAATCGAAGAGTTTTAAGTCACCTGCCTGATTTTTATGGCAGGCCAGACAACCTTCTTAGGTCTGTTGACACATACTCTGGTTGTGATGATAGACACAATGACGTCATTCAAGACTGAAATAGATCTCCCCAACCCAAACATCCGAAATCTTTATCCAGTGTTACCATCAGCTCTTATTCCTAGCCTTAAGGTGTTTACTCCATGTTCACAACAATTTTGTAAATACTGAAATATATTAACCTGAATAATATTTACAAAAACTGCGATTGTGACTCCTCTCACCGTGGGATTTGTTTGTCCTCAGCCCGAGAAAGCCATCGAGGTTTATGAGCAAGCTCTGAAGAAAAACCCAAAAGACGGTGCTCTAGCCAGCAAGATTGGAAAAGCCCTGGTCAAGACTCATAACTACGTCAAGGTATGTTTGATATACACATGTAAAAATAAACACGATCCACTCACAGAGAGAAGTGTTAACACAAGGCTGCTGTTACACAGGCCATAAATTACTACGAAGCAGCCCTGAAGACGGAGCAGCAGAACTTTCTGCGCTACGACCTGGCCGAGCTGCTGATGAAGATGAAGCAGTATCAGCGCTGTGAGACCGTCCTGCTGGAAGCTCTGGTCCATGAGTCAGGTACTTCAGACGTCAGAGCATTTCACACACAGCAAACTCCTGACGTCAAACACAAACTGTTAGAAAACTCTCACTCGTCACCGGCTTGAGCTTCAATATCAGGACACATGTATTTATTATCCTTGCAAGAATGAAAGTAGTCATCACACACAGAGCATTTGGTACAACTAGTTCCCAGAATAGTGTCCTTCACATGCTTATATACAAGAGAGTGTTTCACAGTCACAAGATGCAGGAATACTGGTTCAAAGCAGTATACAATGTTTGCTTTAGATTAGCTAAGACCCACGTCAGAAATGTTCATGCTTGTCATATGTCTATCTCCATAGAGGCTGAATCATCACGTTAATCGTTGTCACATAGCTATCGTATGCCTAAAACAGTGTGTCCTGACGTTCTTCTAGGTGATCATACAAATATGAACAACCTGATGCAACGATGAAAAGAAAATATAAGCAAATATGTCCAACAAAACCAATTCTACTGTTTTCAGTTGTTTAAAATATCGTGTTGCCTTTTTACATTTCTTCCCCGGATCTACCCAGTGAATGAACTGCAGGCACTCTCAGATAATTGCCGTTATCTGGTCCTGTTGGCAAAGGTCCAAAACAAGGTGGACAAGACTGAGGAAGCTTTGCTCTCCCTGCAAAAAGTAAGTGGTTTCAGCTTTGTGGCTTTTTTCGAGATTTTGTCATCTTTTCACATTTTGAATGAACTATTTTCTGGAGTATTTCCAATCAAAACGTATTGGTACGGTAACATGATACGGTTGATGTTGTTATAGTTGTTTCGAGATAAACAAGGTTGTCTTTTTGCTGTGTAAAGGCCAGAGATGTGCAGGCCAAGGTGCTGAAGCGGGTGCAGTTGGAGCAACCTGACGCCGTCCCCATGCAGAAGCAGCTTGCCGCCGAGATCTGTGCTGAGATCGCTAAACACTACACAAGTCAGAGGGGCTATGAGAGAGCGGTCAAATTCTACAAAGAAGCTCTTGTGTATTGTGAGACTGATCACAAGGTCAGTGCAGCCGAATCAAAAACGTCCTGTGTACTCACTGCAGCTGCGGTTTACAAGCACTGGCGTCTTTTCGAATCTGGTGCTTGTGTTTGTGACATTTTCTGATCATGGTTGATAGCTTAATCTATGGGAAAGGTATCTAACCTACAGAGGATGTTGTCAGATGAATGTTCTCCCTGTTCCTAGTTGATGCTGGAGCTGGCACGGGTGTACCTTACTCTAGATGATGTTGACTCGTGCCACGATCAATGCAGCATCATTTTGAAGAATGACCAGTTGAATGAAGATGCAACTCTGGTTTGTTCTCTCTGTCTTTCCTCACAGTTTTGATCATCACCTTTTTTTCTGACAAATTCTTAGAACTTTTTTCTTACATGTTTTTTTCTTAGATGATGGCTGACATTATGTTTAGGAAGCAGGAATATGAACAGGCAGTTTTCCACTTTCAACAACTTCTGGAGCGAAAACCAGGTACATTAGAGACACATTTCCCAAAAACAAATGGTGGTGAATTGATGATTTGAGAGAAGAATAATAAGTCACACCTGTTTTCAGACAACTACCCAACACTGTCGCGTCTCATTGAATTGTTGAGGAGGGCCGGGAAGTTGGAAGAAGTTCCCAGATTTCTTGATATGGCAGAAAAACACTCTTCCAGAACTAAGTTTGACCCCGGGTTCAACTACTGCAAAGGACTCTGTCTTTGGTACGTTTTGGGGGAACGTTTTCTTGACATATTTGACAAAATCAGTTTTAACATCACTGACTTAACTTGTGCTTGCTCCTCAGGTTTACAGGAGAACCTAATGAGGCCTTGTGGCACTTCAACAAAGCACGCAAAGACAACGATTGGGGTCAAAATGCTGTTTATAATATGATTGAAATCTACTTAAACCCTGACAATGACACCATGGGAGGAGAAGTATTTGAGAACTTAGATGGTGAGATTGGGTAAGTGGCAGCAAGAGCATACTATATACCTAAATAAACACTCTCATTGAACATCTCGCTTTTGTCTCTTACCAGGAACTCCACAGAGAAGCAGGAGTCGGAGCAGCTTTCTGTGAGAACAGCCGAGAAGCTGGTGAAGGAGTTAAAGCCTCAGACTCCAGGAGGACACACACAGCTCCGCATCCTGGATAACTACTGCTTGTTGGCCACTAAACAGAAGGCCAATATAGAGAAAGCCCTCAATGTTTTCACAGAGATTGCAAACAATGAGGTAAGTAAACGCCAGACTGTGCACGAGTTACATCACTCCCCTGTGTAAATATATGCACACTAGGAGTTGTGCATTAATTGAAATTCCCTCTTAATGTCAGTCAGAGGTTTGGTTGTTAACTGCACACGGATCAGGCTGAATTGTAATGTCATACATATGGTTTATGTTTTTATTTAAATGTTATAATAACATTTAACTGTACTCAAGCGGAGTCACTATGGTTTCAGTGTAAACGAATGGAAAGAAGGCAGTGTGGGGGGATTTGTTGTCCGGTTCATCCTGTCTCACCAGGATTCTCTGGTTCAATTCAGAAAGACCACGTGCCAGCACTGTTGGCCATGGCGACAGCTTATATGATGCTGAAGCAAACCCCAAGAGCCAGGAACCAGCTCAAACGCATAGCTAAGATGAACTGGAACATTGTTGACGCCGATGAGTTTGAGAAGAGCTGGCTGCTCTTGGCAGACATCTACATCCATTCGTCAAAGTATGACATGGCCGGGGACCTTCTAAAGAGATGCCTTAACCATAACAAGGTCTGTTTGAAAGTCTTGTCACTGCCTGCTTATTATGTGGTTTAAAAATCTGTCCAATTCACACAGAACCTCTACCCCTTAGTTTGGAGAATTGCCGGACTTTGTAACGCAGAGGCTGTATTTTATGTTAATTTCTTTGCGATCACAATTTAACGTTTTTTTTTCCACAGTCATGCTGTAAAGCCTATGAATATCTTGGCTACATCATGGAAAAAGAGCAGTCGTTCCGTGATGCAGCACTCAACTATGAACTGGCTTGGAAATATGGAAATAGGACTAACCCAACTATTGGTTTGTGCACCAAAATCACAAATCCAGCTATATTTAAAAGGACCAAAGCAATTTCAGAATCTATATTTCTAAAATGTATGTCATGTCATTTTAATTTCAGGATACAAGCTTGCTTTCAACTACCTGAAGGCAAAGAGGAATGTTGATGCCATAGATGTGTGTCATAAGGTGAGACCAAGTAGGTGTTTACAGTTTGACAGATAAGATCTGTATTTACACCGCTAATGATCTTTGCTTCTGTCCACAGGTTCTGGCTGCTCATCCAAATTATCCGAGAATGAGAAAAGATATCCTGGACAAAGCTCGAATGGCCCTGAGACCTTAGAAGTGTGTGTGTGTGTGTGTGTGTGTGTGTGTGTGTGTGTGTGTGTGTGTGTGTGTGTGTGTACCATTGAGCAAATGTTTCTGTAATAAAATGAGTTATTTTTGATTTAATCCTTTTTATGGTTTGGCTTCAGCTGTCAAATTAGAAAATGTTGGTTGTCTGTATTTGTCTGAAAACTGGCTAAAGCCCATTGCAATGTAAATGTTATTTAATTAAAGCATTGTTCTTTCTTTCCTTACAATGCCTTCACCAAAAAGTTGACTAAAAACATTTAAGACTATTTATGAAAAATGTCTGTGTGCTCCCCATTATCGAGATTACCTATTTTCTCAATTTGATACATGACTTAATCATTTTATTTGTAACAGTTAGGCTACCCTGTAAATCTATATTTCAATGTTGTATCTTGTCATTTATATTATTAGTATGCAGATACGTTTGGATATTTATAAAATCTGCATTTATTTAAATAATAAAATGATTTAGATACCTGATGTTGGCTTTTTGTCTGTCTCTTTTCTACAAAAAATCTAACTGATGCATTAAGAAGGGCATGAACTGTTTAAGGCATATCCTGAATGGACAATTTACATCATCCAACAATTGCCACATAGACAAACATTTACAAGCGTGAGTGGGAACGAAAGCAGGACACGGTGAACATTTTAATGGATAATAAAGTGGATGCCTGGCGTGAATAGGAAGTGCTGGGTAACACAGTCACTACAGATGGAGTCACTGTGCAAGTCAAAGGCAGAAAGAAGTCAGCGGAGCAGGCTCCCTGCGGCTGGATCCGCGTCCACACCGCCAAGCAGCCAACTCTTTATGAAGACCATCCGCTGTGGAGAACCTGGGCAATCAAAGGATTAGATGAAACAGCTGGTGAGTGTCTGTTTTTGCAACTTTTATTCACGGTATCTTAGATTCGTCTCCATGCAAAAGAACGTGTAACTTTTCTTAATGCGCGATGGACCATGTGCGTTTATGGATTGTGTTCATATATTTAAGCTGTGTGCAAGATGTGCTGTTTTCTCAGAGAGCCTGATTGGATGCGGTGGGGTGTGTGGGGGGTATTGCGCGTTCCTCCGTTATTTGTAACCCAGCAACTCTCCCAGTGAATGACCAGTTGAACAAATCCTATTAATGGCACCATTATTAATTCTGAGGAACTCCGTGAACAGTCTGCAATACTCCTGAAGTCCAAGTGACTGCAGTCCACTTTAGCGCATCTACCAGAAGGGTTTCAACCTATGTTTGATTCTGCAGTGATTTAGTATATTGGGCTTTTTTTTAAGGACACACGTCAAGCTACAGGGCAAAGAGTGCCACAACCTAACTTGTTTAACGGGATATTTTCTCATTTGTGTTTCAGGTATGGATTGTTATCCGCACAATTTCTCTCTGCGCAAGCGCGCCAGCAAGTCTCCTCCCTCTACCTGAGAGCAGAGAGCACCTGGATCCAACGAGACGGAAGTTTTGAGAGGGCAGAAAACTGAGCAAATCTTTTTGTCTCTGCGTAAAGTTTCTTTGAAAGTTGAATCAACAAAAAGAAGAACTCCAATCGAAGCAGGATGTCGTCGGTGGACATCTTTGAGACACATTTTAAGAGCTTTTCCATTTTACGTCTGTAGTTCATCGATTCATGGTAAGTGGTCTTTTTTTCTGAAGCTATACTGAGCAGCAGATACATAAGAAAAAAGGGATTTGTAGACGGCAGTAGAATACTTTTAGCTTCTTTAGGAACTGCTTCACACATGATTTGTTTTATTTCAAAGACAAAAAGTAAACAAAAAGGCTTAAAATACTAAGATGTTATTGTAGTAGAATGGCAAGTAATGTGTCTATATGTGGTATTTAAAGCCACATGTCTTTAATTTGATTATTACATTAATGCTTGTTGATCATCATTAAAAATCTGAATATATGTATTACAGCTGAATGTCAGTCCAAAGCCAGACTGCTCTCCTCTCAAGAAGAATGACAGTTCTCCGCAGAGTGCTCCGAAGGCGACTGCACCCAGTACAACTGGTGGTAGTGGCCCTTGTCTTCGTCACATTATTTTTCTTCATACAATGGGAGGTTGCTAGCCAAAACCAACAGGAGGACCCATGGCTAAGGGGGATGGCAGTGAAGCGGGATGCCATGCTGGGGATGGTGATGGGAGCTGTTAATAACTTAAAGGATGCCATGCCAAAGATGCAGATCAGAGCCCCTGTTCGCCAGCAGGACAATGCAGAGAGGGTGTCATGTCCACCGGGTCACTACACTGCTGCTGAGCTCAGGCCGGCTCTGGAGCGGCCCCCTCAGGACCCTATGGGGCCTGGAGCTGCTGGGAAACCTTTCCACACAGACTCACTGAGCACTGAGGAACAGAAGGAGAAAGAGAAGGGCGAAGAGAAACACTGCTTTAACCTGTATGCCAGCGACCACATCTCCTTGAGCAGAGACCTGGGCGCAGACACGAGACCACCGGAGTATGTCACTTTGTACAATCTTTACACTAATGTTTTTACTATCAATTGTAGAAACCTCAATAACATAATTGTGCTAGCGAACAAAGTAGACCAAATAGTGATAGTGCTAGTGGGTTTGAATGCAGATTCTGTGCTGTACAGGATGCACTAATTTATGCACTGGGCCAGAATGTTACTTGCCCATTGAGAAATGCTCAGATTGACCAGTAAAATCTAGATGTGGTCTAACCCACACACATTCATCTTTATTTGCTTTATGCAACAGGGAAAAATCTCAGGCAGAAACCACAGAGATAATTGCTCTGACTGGGACTTTGTTTCAGCACGCCTGCCCAGTTACTGTGGCCAGTTCAGAGAGAAGCACAGTTGTGTTTGGCAAATTGCAGTACATCCAAGTGCATGTTAGTCCAAGTATATGTCAGTAGATAGTCCGTACATGACACAGACATAAAGCCGAACCATGGACTGGCTATCTTATTAGAGAGAATTACTAAGTCTCTCCGGCTCTGATATGGCAGGCACTTCAAAGACTACCATGCATGCGGTGTCGCAGCTGAAATGGACACCCCACAGGGGAGGGTCTGCAGATGTAATAACTACCCTATTGTGCCACTCAGGAACTGTACAGGACATTCAGATCTTTGTGCTCTTTCTCCTTCTTCACTGCAGATGTATTGAGCAAACCTTCAAGCGATGCCCCCCCTTACCGACCACCAGTGTGATAATTGTGTTTCACAATGAAGGTTGGAGTACCCTGCTAAGGACAGTATACAGTGTCCTCCACACCTCACCTACAATTCTTCTCAAGGAGATCATCCTGGTGGACGACGCCAGCGTGGATGGTAAAACTTAATAGGGTCCTTCACGGCCGCATTGCTCTCTTTTTTGGGATCGATTTCATGCAGCATGTTGGGTGGGCAGCTGTTTGGTGTGCTACAAAACGTCCAAAAGGAGCTCCCTGCTCCTTCTGTGCCCCATGAATTGGGTTACAACAGGAAGCGAGGGCCTGCTAGTGAATACTTTCCTAAAAGGCATTAGCAGTGGTTGTGCTTAGAAATGAGTTAGTGTTAACTTGTAAACAGGTCTAATGTAGGAAGGAAACAAAATGCTGAGAGGAGAGACGTCTGAGGGAATGCAATCCATCTGACTTTCTAAGCTCAGTGACTTGTAGGAATCAGGCCACAGATGTACAGCAGATCTCCTGAAAGCCAGCCATGTGAAAGATGAAAGGAAGACAGCTTCTTCCTTTTTCATCTGTTTTACCTTCCAGGCTGAAGGCTGTGAATATTATCAATTATCACTTACACAATACTTGAGACTGTTTATTCAAAACCGTGTACAACATTCACTCTTAATACTCATAAGGTTTTTCTCAGTGTTTAACTTAACTCTCTGTCTAACCGATATACTATATACTTTCAGATGTGTTGAAGGACGGGCTGGATGATTATTTGAAGCACCTGAGTATTGTTCGAGTTGTGCGCCAGCGTGAAAGAAAAGGACTCATCACCGCTCGGTTGCTAGGTGCCTCCGTGGCCACAGGCGACACGCTTACCTTTCTGGATGCCCACTGTGAGTCAGCACCACTGTCATTACTCACATATAAAGCCAGTTGCATGCCAGACACACCCTGACTTATGATCCCACGGCTTAACAACCCAATGATTACACACAAATCCTTTGCATGGCGGCAATACCTCAAAAATTAGCCTTTCAGTGATTATTGTTTGATTTGCGTGGATTACCAGGTGAATGCTTCAATGGGTGGCTGGAGCCCCTGCTGGCCAGGATAGCTGAGAACCATACTGCAGTAGTGAGTCCAGATATAACCACCATCGATCTCAACACTTTTGAGTTCATCAAACCCTCCCCATATGGGCAGAATCACAACCGGGGTAACTTTGACTGGAGCCTTTCCTTCGGCTGGGAGAGTCTACCAGATCACGAGAGACAAAGGAGGAAGGATGAAACATACCCTATCAAGTAAGCAAAAAATCCATACACAACAACAAACTGGTGAAAACTTTAGCTTGTTGTGGGAAATCATTAACCACATTTCTCTTTAGGACTCCCACATTTGCTGGTGGGCTCTTCTCCATCTCAAAAGACTACTTCTACCATATTGGGAGCTACGATGAAGAAATGGAAATCTGGGGCGGCGAGAATATTGAAATGTCATTTAGGGTAAGTCATTCAGGCTGTGCAGGATTTTTGTTACCTGTTGAGTAATTCCAGTGCAGAACTCCTGCATAGGCGTGTCTGACTGCATTGTACATCTGTTTGTGCTGCCTGCAGGTGTGGCAGTGTGGCGGACAGCTGGAGATCATTCCTTGCTCCATTGTCGGCCATGTTTTCCGTACCAAGAGCCCCCACACCTTCCCAAAGGGCACACAAGTGATAGCACGTAACCAGGTTCGACTGGCTGAGGTCTGGATGGACGACTACAAGGACATCTTTTACCGCCGTAACCAGCAAGCTGCGCAGATATCAAAAGATGTATGTAGTGCTTCTGACACTAACGCGCCTTTGAAATCCTGTCATTCGACCCTTTTCAAATGCAGAAAATCACCCTGAAGCATTATCTTTCACTTGCCAGGGTCATATGTAAGTGTTTTTTTCAGACCAGTCATTATCCCCTTCCTCGCCCCTTTTTAAAACAAGTTTAAGCAAATCCAACCACATTGATCATAATTTAACATACTGCAGGGAAAGCATAGGATTACACACCCTACCATTTCACCTTTGTAATTCTTAATGCATGAATTCTGTAGAGCATACTCTGAAATGGTGAGACTTAGATAAGCTATTAGGGGCTGTAAGCGGTTAACTGTCAGAGGCGAAAGGGCCCGGAGGAAGTCAGCTCTGGTAAATGACACAGGCTCTCAGCATTTCCCAACATGCGGTCCCCCAGAGGTGCCATAAAGTGTTCCCTCAGGGCTGTACCTCCCAGAGCGAGCCAANAAATCCCAGAACCACACGGGGGGACCTAGTCAATGACCTGCAGAGAGCTGGGACCAAAGTAACAAAGACTACCATCAGTAACACACTACGCTGCCAGGGACTCAAATCCTGCAGTGCCAGACGTTCCCTGGCAGCGTAGTGTGTTACTGATGGTAGTCTTTGTTACTTTGGTCCCAGCTCTCTGCAGGTCATTGACTAGGTCCCCCCGTGTGGTTCTGGGATTTTTGCTCACCGTTCTTGTGATCATTTTGACCCCACGAGGTGAGATCTTGCGTGGATCCCCAGATCGAGGGAGATTATCAGTGGTCTTGTATGTCTTCCATTTTCTAATAATTGCTCCCACAGTTGATTTCTTCACAACAAGCTGCTTACCTATTGCAGATTCAGGCTTCCCAGCCTGGTGCAGGTCTACAATTTTGTTTCTGGTGTCCTTTGACAGCTCTTTGGTCTTGGCCATAGTGGAGTTTGGAGTGTGACTGTTTGAGGTTGTGGACAGGTGTCTTTTATACTGATAACGAGTTCAAACAGGTGCCATTAATACAGTTAACAAGTGGAGGACAGAGGAGGCTCTTAAAGAAGAAGTTACAGGTCNGACATGCTTGGTTAAGGTACGGGAGGAGTGTGAAGTCAAACTTGTCCTTTGAACGGCAGACATTTTTTTTACATGGCGTGGTATGTATACTCGCAAATGTGCCTGTGTCTAAAAATGAATTAAGGCAGAATCAAAGCAAAAATAGATTTGCAATAATGTATTTTAGGCTACTGAGCGAAGAGAAAAATAAGAAGTTATAGGCAATAAAGGGACAAAGACACGTCGGCCGTAACTGACAGCTTGCACTTATCACATCTGTTTTTAGTGTCGTCGTCTTTGCGCTTCAAGAATGATGTCACAAGCGACATGTCTGGCCATGTGTCGTGGGTGTGTTGCTGTGTGCGGTATGCATATGAGTGTGTGAGAAAACACAGCATAACGGAGATGAGACCAGACACGATATCCGATGCTCTGCTAACCATGTACCTTTCCAGAACAACATGTGTGTGGCACACCCACACACCACACACACCCACACACAGCACACACACACACACACACACACACACCACACACCACACACACACACACACACACACACGCACAAGCACAGCACACACAAACACAGCCACACACACACACACACAAACAACACACACTAAATCTACAGAAATGCTATTAGCATCGTCATGACTCGGAAATAGTGCAAAGTCTTAGGCTTAAACCCTCAAAGCAGCCACATGACACCGCTCGACCTGTGTCAAAAACTATCCTAAGACGCTCTAGAGAGTATTTATATCTTCAAGCAGGCAAACATCTTCACACGTGGTTGCATTTATGTTCGGGCCAAAGAGCAATAGAGCGTTTTCCACATACGAACAACAGGCTGCAGTTGACAATTTGTAATTAACCAGAATTTCAAGTGACCTGTTTAATTTCCACGCATCTTTGGTCGGCTCTGGATGATTTTTCTAATTCAGAGGAGGGGGTGAATCTAAAAATCACAGCTTGTCTCTTAACGCTTTTCACATATTGGCGCGAGTGAACTGTGCGGCCCAACGTTTGGATGAAAAGGAAGTGTGTTGAGTAGGGGGGAGAGGGGAGAAACGAGGCGAGGTGTGTTTTCAGTGCTGGTGCGTGAGTGTGTTTGCACTTGGAAAGCTGGGTTTGACATTCAATATTTTAAAATAAATGCCCGAAATACTGAGCTATACAAAAACTAAATCCAGTCGCATTTATATTTCATTGGGCACAAAAGTTTTGAAATGTGGTTGTTTTGAACAGTTGTTCCTCTGGTTCATAAAGCATAATACCCGTGGGAGCAAAAAGAGTATTCCTAGTCAGCCACACACATTGATGCAAGTCTCCCAGCTTAAAAAGATGCGAAGAGGCCTGTAATTTTCAATCACATCAAAGGTAACCCAACCATGAGAAGACAAAAAGAGAAACAAAAACTCCAGAAACACAATGCTGATTTTTAAAGATTTATTTGCCAAATATTGGTGGAAAATAAGTATTTGGTCCAATAACCAAACAAAAAACGATTCTTCGCTGCTCACCAGACCTGTAACTTCTTCTTTAAGAGCCTACATCTGTCCTCCCACTTGTAACCTGATTAATGCACCTGTTTGAGGTTGTGGACAGGTGTCTTTTATACTGATAACGAGTTCAAACAGGTGCCATTAATACAGTTAACAAGTGGAGGACAGAGGAGGCTCTTAAAGAAGAAGTTACAGGTCTGTGAGAGCCAGAAATCTTGTTTGTTTGTAGGTGACCAAATACTTATTTTCCACCATCATTTGCGAATAAATTCTTTAAAAATCAGACAATGTGATTTTCTGGATTTTCTTTTTCTCATTTTGTCTCTCATAGTTGAGGTATACCTAGGATGAAAATTACAGGCCTCTCTCATCTTTTTAAGTGGGAGAACTTGCACAATTGGTGGCTGACTAAATACTTTTTTTGCCCCACTGTAAGAAATCTTTAAGAATGCTTACAACAGAGTATGCTGCGTAGTAAGGGGCCCTCTAGGGTCTAATGTTTAAAAAAAGGGTCAGAATTTGTTACAACCTTTTCTAATCTTTGCTCTTGGATTAACATCAGATTAGGAATCGGACGGCACAGTTTGCAAACATTTGTATGCACAGATTCACACGTTTTATTTGCTCCACCATGTATCCCCAGAGGGACTCAGTAGCGTCACAACAACCTTAAAGAATACATCAAAATGTTACCTGTTCTCCGTTGAGCCACAGGGCCTCTGCTAACTCCAAGAAGACAGAGAGACAGTCAGCAGGACTGAGCTCAATCTTCTTGTTCTTAGACTTGGACGAGGATCCTGTTCTGCGGACACCTGGAAGTAACATGGCCATCTGCAGTGTCTGAATAGCTTCTGTCAGCTCGCCCATTTTCTTCTTAGCCTGAGCCCTGATCAGATGGTACAACGGATGTTCGCGAATCTGGAATGGACAAGAAGTCACAACACATTCGGAAATGCAATCTTCTCAGTTAATCAATATCAGATTGTGTAATACATCTGTGGTTGAGATCCTGATTGTAGCAGGAAATAACATTCACCACAGAAGACATTTTGTTCATCCAAACCCAGCTTAACTGCCACAGAGATGATTAACATTGCTTCTGTATTAACATGTGTGTCGCTAAACTGTTGGAATTTAACAATACACACTAAACGGATGGAAGTCTTCTTCATTTCACATACATCATTGTATTCATGCCTAACTGAGGATAAGCTGACATGTTTCTAAATGTTACAAACAAAGGCACATAACTTCATTATATTTGCCCCTTTCCCATTGGTTAAATAGGCCTGAACGCACACTGCAGTCAATCATAGTATTTAGTTTAGTTTATTTATAGTGTCGTGGACAGTCCCCATCGATGAACTGTCACAAAAACAGTAAATGGAGCAGCTTTAGCCGACATGGCTAATTTCCAGCTGTTGTCCCCGTTCAGATGGTAATAGACACCCTAAAAATTACAATATATCAACAGCATTAGTTTTAAAAAAAATATATAAAATAAAAAGGAGGAAGACAAGTAGATACCGGTGTGAGGATAAAAGAGAACAATAAACGACACACGTTACTACATACAGTACATGTCACATATAGCACATCACAATCACATAACAGAAACGAGGGGCAACATCCATGATCACAACATGTAACACAACATGTAACACAACATGTAACACTCACGCCATACTCAACACAGACTAGTGTGTGGAGGTGTAGTTCTCAGTGAACCATGTTTTTAAGTGAGCTGTGATATTCATGTTTATGGGGATCTTACCTCAAAGTTATGGCTGAGGCAGAGCTCAAGAGACTGGGAACACAGAGAGAAGTTGCCCTGCAGTAGATGAATCTGTGCCATTAGCAGATGAGCATCTGCATGAGAAGGACACTGCTCCAGACAATGTTCCAGACTGCTCTGAGCAGCGCCAATGTCACCTGAATAACCACAAAAGCAATACATTTTATTATTGATAATGATATTAATACATTTTATTTATCAAGCGGTTTATCAAGCTGCTTTACAGAGGTAAGAAAAAATAAGATAAGATAAAAAGTCTCATTAAAATCGAGCAGTAAATCCACATATGTCACAAGGACATGTCATCAATCACACAATGGAGGTTAGAATACCATATGCAGAAAATAAATCAAAAATATATTCAAAATGCTGTGCTTACCAGACTGATATCTGACTTTGGCAAGCAGGAAGACCCCTTGAGGGAGCCCTGGCACAATCTTGACCACAGTATCCAATAATGTGGCGCAGTGCTGGAGCTGAGGAGCAGGAGGCTGGCCCTGGGCTGGAGGCTGAAGCAAGGCAGTAAAAGATGTATTTAATGCAGAGATTCACACTAGAACAGGATGCATCACTTCATCATTCTATGACAAGAGCTAAATAGGGCCATTGTAAGTTTAAGAAAAATCTTTGGGGGGAGAATGTACAAAAAACTTGACAAGCAACCACAACACTTGCAAAATTGGACCAACCTCATCACATCACAGACCTCTCAGAAATGTATGATAATATTATCTCAGGGAGGATTTTTTTAGAACACAAATCTAGCCTTTTAATCGTAGAAATTAATCTTAGTTAATTAGTTAGTTAGTTAATCTTATTGCAGTGCCCAAATGTCGAAACCAGAATGTATATGACATTTTAATGACAAATCATGTCATTGATGAGTGTCACAGTCCTACCTTGGGAGGACACAGTGCAAGATACTCTTTAACAATCTCTAACAGGAAGTCAGGATTCAGCTTCTCAAAGTACTCCACTCCCAGAGGCAGACCCTGTAGGGTGGAGAAGTGTGTGTCCACTGCATCATTCAACAGATTGGTAACCTCCTCCTGGGGCCGGCGTTTTTTCACTGCGAGAACAGCCCGTAGGTAAAGTAGCTCCTGAGGGGGAAAACAAAACATACAATTCAATTGTTAGATACAAGAAAAAGAAAAGTAGCAGAGAGGCAAACTTAACAAGGCATTATGTACAAGATGGATCAAATACATAAGTAAAACTCTCCCAGGTAGAATAACTAACAAGAAGAAACAGGTTTAAAGCCCTATAAATTATATAAAAGCATGATAAGCCACTGTCTTTCAAGATACTGTTACTTAAATTAAAGACATTTTGTGTAGTCAGCATTCATAAAAATACGTCACCCCTGATTTTCCAATTGATTGTTGAATCTCTGTTAGAAATTCCAACTGTTGTTCTGCGTCGTCAATGTGGCCTTCTATCAGCTGGCAGCGGATTATACCTGCGTAGCAAAAATAATGTTAAATATCCAGACATAACAGCATGAGTGTTGAGCAGACAACAGGTTAAACACTGTAACAAGTTACCAGTCAAAGCAGAAACACTCGTCTCATCCAAAGTCATGGCAGTCTTGTACCACTTCATAGCCTCCTTGATTTTGCCCTGAAGCACCATCTGGTAGCCCAGCTCTGTGGCTAAATCTGAGTCTCCTGATGCCACAGAGAAGGCCCGCTCCACCATCCTGAACGTCTGCTCAATCACTTTCTCATTTCGTCCACACTGTGACAAAAAGAAGAAAGATAACTGTAAATGCTAAATAGAAATAGAACAACCCTTTATAATTAATAAAGTGCAGACTGTAGCATAAAGACAATTGGAAATAATAATATAAATTGTCTTACAACACGGGTGAAGGCAAGAGACATCCTGTAGAAAAGCTCTGGGTTGTGTGGTTCCAGAATCTCCAAGCTGCTGATGAGGTTTGAAAGCTGCTTTACCGTCTGCCAAGGGGGATACAAAAACAGTTCATTGATCAAAACTGTGCCACAGCTCCACTGTTAATTCCAGTATTTCAAATATTATTTATATTTTCTGCTGATTTGCACCCCAACCAGATCAAAGTATGACCTTGTGAAACATTACCTCAGAAATATCGCCATCTCTACATAAAGAATGTAGAGCTAGCATCCGCAGCGCCTCCAGGTTATTTGTATCCTTCTGTAAAAGCCTGAAATATGACACATAGTGAATGAAGTACACTTCCGTTCCTACACTTCTCAAGTTTGGATTTATTTGATCAAAAGTAATGGAATATATGATACAGCTGCGGTAGTGTGTTGAGCTCCCAGATGAATAGAATTCAAACTAAAAGTAACTGTGAAGCCGGCAAAGCATTACTGCATGCGTCATCTCAACATCCCAGTGAGGGCAACACTTTATGACACTTAAGTGATCACTCTTCTTTCTTTTCAACAAACCTGCAGCAGCAAATGCTTGGAATTGTGTTGTACTTTTGCACTTTGGCTCAATTGGCCAAGGTCCAGAGGGGCGAGCACAAACAATAGCTTAATCAGTAGTATGCACTGATCTGAGGCATCACGCTTGTGTTTCATTTGCACTTGAATGCTGAGCCATTTGTAAAGGCAGACTGTGTTTTCTCCTTCGTCCCTGGCAGTGATTTTTGACGTTTTTGCACTTCATGATATAGGCTTGTTCTAAGAAAGAGCTGACCTGTGTGCTGCATCTATGGTTTGCTCCCAGTCTTGAAGGCAGAGCAACAGCTTCATCTTCTTGATGAGGGCAGGCGAGAACCCAGGGAAACTAACAATCACCTGGTTAACCATCTCCAAAGCCCCAGAGTAGTTCTGACGATATTCATAGTACTGTGCCTGGGAAAGAAAACAAATTCACAAAGGGATGTTTTGTACACTCACTCAGGCTAGTAGAGAGTAGGACTTTTACTTTAGTATGCCTAAAGAACCCTAATTGAAGAAATATTAAAAAAGTTACAGAAGAACAATTCAAAAAATAAACTAAACTAACCTAAATATAGTTATGGTGTATGATAGCTGAACTCAACTGTATACATCATCAGAGTAGTGGCAAGGGACACATAATAATAAACAATTAGATCATAAATACATTTAAAAAACAAACAAATAGACAGGAAATATGATAGCATTGTCACATATTCAGCTGTGAATGAGGATGACTTTTTCAATATGGATATGTAGTTCCCGTCTCACCTTTCCCATCAGGGCAAAAAGATCAGCTTTTTCTTTCAGTCCCTCATCAAAGTACTTTCCAGCTTTTCGGGAGTAGGCGTCTTTACCAGATGTCACATCTATCCAGGCTTTTAGGATTATCCCCTGAAAAACAAACATTTCACAAGAGTATTAGGGGAGAAGCCAAAATGCTCTACTTGTCGTAAAAACACTCTAACACATTGCATAACATTTGAGTTATAATGATGCAAACATCTCACCTCTCTAGAGCCACTGGAGAGTTTGATCATTCTCTCTGTGTACTCCCTTGCTTTATCATGTCGTCCTAATAGCCAGAGAAACATCCCGGCATAGTACAAGCTTTTGGGAGATGCACTTTTACGATCATCTTTGACCTTAGCATCAAGTTCTTGAATAACCTCTTTGTCTGTGAACACATGGTAGATTTTTAGAATAATAGCAACATGTGTAGCCAGCATCTGACAATAATAAAAGAAGACTATTTGGGCTTACCTGGATTTGTCTTTTTTTTCTCAGCAAAGACAAGGGCCATTAATGTGCAGAGAGACACATCTCGACTGTCTCTGATTGTGTCCAACTCTATTGAGGCTTCTTGAATTTGATCTAAAATAAAATGTCATAGTAAAGAATGATAGATAGCAAAATAAACACTTGTCCAGCCAGAAAAAGACCAAGCTTTTTTTTTTACTAAACATTTACAAGCTTACCTTGCATGAGGTTGCCATAAGCGTGGAAGAACATGTAGATAGGATCATTGCTGAATTTCCTCTGCGCAGCTGCTGCAGCGTTTACAGCGTGATTGAAATATTTTTCATAGCAATAGCATCTGATCAAAGCCTGCAGAAATAAAGAAAGAAGACCCTGCGTTATAGGACTTTTAAGTGGAGATAGCTTGCAGCAAAACAAACCTACTGCATGCATCCAATGCCAGGGCTCAACGCTAACATCAGCTTTTGGTTGCCAAAACTGAAAATACGGTTGCCATTTTTAGTCACCTTATATTTTAAATAATTAAGATACTATACAGTTATACATCAACTTAATAATGAAAATGTGACACAAAAGAATGTTCAAATGCTTTACAATAAGTAATTAACACAATTATTTGAAACTTAAGTGGTAGTAAAATTGTCTCCACCCTCAATTGCTTGGTATTACAAAAACACCAGTAGTGCAGCAGATCCTCACAAATGAATTTGAGCCAAGTCACAAGGTTTCTTGGTCATCCGTTGGTCTCCCTTTCAAATTTTGGGTTTTCTTGACCTTTGGCTGATCCCCACCATAGATCCATTGGCCCTTCAGCGTTGAAGTCTTGATTGTGGTTCTGTCATGGGCAGACTAATACTTTATAATGTTAAATTAATTAAAACCATTTCACAGTTAAAGGTTCAGGGTATGTAAGTTTGAGAAACCGGCTCGAAATACACTTTTTGTTTATTCCATGGAATGCTCTTAACATTCCGTGCAATGAATACTTTTAAGTGGCTTTGGAAAAAAAAATCCATAAAAATGTCATCTGTGGAAGCCGTACTGTAAAAAGCCCCACGACCAATCATTTTAGCCGGCCCGGCTAAGAATAACGGATGTGCCTCACCTGCCTGTCAGCCTTCCATCTGGCACAAACTTATCTCGTGCCCTTATTGGTCATGTACGCGGTTCGTGTGTGTTGGGGAGGAGGGGCTCTATAAGGAAGTGGCAGGATTTTCTCGGTGTGTAGGCGGCGATAATCCAACAATCGCTCCTAACGTCTACACCCTATCGTCTATTCCTTGACCTCTCAGTGAAACGTCATGGGGTTAACATAGGTGGATAGGAACCATTCAAAAGGATTTAGGAGAAGAGACTGCGAGACGAATCCGTATTACCCTGTAACAGGTTTTGAATGGTTGAATATTCCACCATTTCAAAATCTTTTAAAAGTTTTAAACAAATTCCCACCAGCTCAGTGACTGTGAAATGTTGACTTCATTTGATCATTTCAGTGAAAACTCCAGACCAACGTAAGAGTTTGAGCCTCTTCGGGAGGGTGGTAACATTTTAAACATACACTTCATTCTTACTTTGTCCCGTTATTATATGTAGGAAGGATATTGGCTTTTTCTCTCAACTTCAACTTCAAAATAAAAGCATCTAAATAGGATTTGGTTTCTGACACACCAAAGTACGTTATTTGAACACCCCTCTCAATCGATTTGTACAAAAACAAAAATTAGTATGGCCAGCCCCTATTACGACCAACGCGTGTTTAAAGATATTGTGGTGACTCTAGTCTACACGGACCTTGTTTAGTGTAACACGCGGAGTATATAGGTTTGCCAGCTAGAGGTTGCAACGCACTCTAAACTTGACTCTCATCACTGAGTACATGTCCGATATCACTATTGCTTGATGTGAAAATAAAGAGTGGAAATCCATCTTAGATTACCTCCGCTCCGACTCCTTTCTTACCGGCACTACACTGGTGACCCTGCATTTTTCGAGATAGTTTCAGAAAAAAAAATGTGAACATGGCTAACGGATGTTTTCGTTAAGCTGCCGGCGTTTTGGGAGCATGCCGCGGAGCATGTTTGCACACGTGGAGGCTCACTTCGCTTGCAAGGCATCTCCACGACGAAGAGCTGAGATATACCTAGTGGATGGGACTTTATGGCCTTTGAAGGGAGCCGGATCTTATGGCTCCGTTCCTTTCAAAGAGCCGTTCAAAAGAGTCGTTCCAAAAGGCCGTTTTTTTAAAGGGTGCGGGGTTACATAGGTTCTATCTGCGAATTAATCACCAGGGATAATGATTGACTGTTATTGTCAGAGGCCGTAATGTCAATAATCTGCATTGTAAACATGACATAAAGGTGGCGCCATATTCATGTCAGTGAATGTATTTTTGAATGTAGCCTCCAGCATCCAACTGCGTTTTTCGCGTTTGGCTCATTTTCCATCCGAAAAACACGTGTCTAACCTGTCCTGTACCAACTTGTTATGCCTCTCTCTCTCGTGTATTCCGTTAAGACCACCCCATCTCACTCCTCGTGCTGTAAACCTGTGGTGTTCACTCCTCTGTCCTAAATGGATTGTTGGAGCATGCCCCCCCCCCCCCTGTGAGTCCCAGTGTGTCTGATTTGGTCAAGCGACGTGCAACTGCTCGCGAGGAGCGCTGTGAGGAGCAGACGAGGGTTTCCGTGTCGAAGATAGATGCGTCAGAG